TCCTTTTTTTAAAAAAATTATTTATTATTTTTATTTTATGTGTATGCGTGTATTGCCTGCATGTAGGTAAGTGCACCCGTGTCGTGCAATGCCTGTGGAGGACAGAAAAGGCTGTCGGACCCCCTGAAATTGGAGTTACAGACAGTTGTTAGCTGCCATGTGCGTGCTGGGATTCGAACCTGGGTCCTCTGCAACAGTCAGTGTTCTTAACTGCTAAGCCATCTCTCCAGCCCCTACTAAAGAATCTTAAAATATATACATACATACATACATATATATGTATATACAAATACACACACACACACACACACACACATACAGAGAGAGAGAGGGGGGGGTTAGAGAGGTTAAGTGGAGTTACTCTATAATGGGGGGGGGTTTACAATGCCCCAACCAGACACCATAAGCTAGCAAATAAAAAACCCAATACCAGGGATGAGCTCCCTAAACCCTCAAGCAACACTGGCTATTGCTACTGCTCTTGGTTACCATCCAGAATGTGATGGTTAAGACACTATTGCCGAAGACACTACCAACCTGAGTCATAGAATGAATATAGAAAAATCAAGCTGGTACTGACCTCATGTCTACTGGTTAGCTCTCACAGTGCTGGGAGGTACTATGTATGCTACCAGAAAACAAATCATCAACCTTACTAATCTGTGCACTGTGAGCTGTAATAATAATTGGCCTGGCAAGATATGCCCCTTAGTGCATTAGTGGAATGAATGTTTATGGAAGTAACCAATCAATTAAAAGCTCACTTCCCAAGATGGAGCCGATATTTGGCCCTGTTATCAAGGCCAAGAACCTGTGGCTAGATAGGTCACAGGCCCTAGGGAACAACCTACTACTATTATTCTGCTAAATGGACATAGTATTAAACCAATTCCTAATGACTTATCATTATACCCATAGATTAGTGCATCACTCAGTTGTCACCAAAGGAGCTTCTTCTTGCAGCAGATGGCAATTTACAGAGACCCACAACTGGTTAACATGCAGAGAATGAAACTGCAAAGCGCTCAGTCCTAAATGGCATAGCTATATCACACCTCCTCCCAAGGCTCAGGGATCATTGCAGCAGAGTAGAAAGATTCTAAGAGCCAAAAGTGGTAGTAGAATACAAGGAAACTGTGTCTGAACACAATGGGGCATTGCACGTATGAAACCACAGTGCTTGTGACAGGATGCACAAGACCTGCGCAAGCTCAAGTCACACAAAATCCTAGCATGCAGGGTAGAAGTGGGCACAAAGCTCCATTCCTAGCTGAGGAACTATTAGCAACTGATAGCTGCTGGAAGAGGGAGAGTCCATTTTCATTTAGGGTGTGATATTAGCTAAGATGGCTACACTCCAGGGGATGGACCTACACCCAAGAGTATTTGGAGAACACAAATCAGACTTGATAAACCTTAAGAAAAATAATAGCAGACATGAAGTAGGGGAAGGCTAGGGAGGTAGGTATGGATCTGAGAGATGGGAAAGGGGTCTGAAAATGATCAAAATACATTACAAGAAATTCTCAAAGAATCAATAAAAATATTACTTAAAAAAATTATCTTTAAATTTAAAGCCAGGCACATTAGGGCACACCTTTAATCCCAGCACTCAGGAGGCTGAGGCAGGTGCACCTCTTATGAGATGGAGGCCAGCCTGGTCTACATAGTGAATTCCAGGCCAGTTGGCCAGCTGGAGTTACAGGGTGACCCTGTCTCAAAAAAAATCCAAAAAATAAAATAAAATTCTCTTTAAATTTAAAAAAGATAACTCATGAAATGTTTCTAACTGCCCAACTGTAAAATAATTATGTATTTATCTAAATCATATAATCATGTTAAATTATTAATCATAATTTCATAATTATTCATACTGCTGTTTAGAAACAGAACACAGAGATTACACATACATATTTACAACATACATATACAGATATATAAAATAAATCAGGTCAACTTTCTTGTTTTATGAGCAAAACCTTACTCTGTAGCCTATGCTGTCTGGGCTGGCCTTCAACTAACAGCAATTCTCCTGCCTCAGCTTTGCCAAATCCTGTAATGACAGGTATAAGCCACCAGGCCAGCATTCAGGTCAATGTCTTTGGAATTTAAAATTGCACTACCTGACATTTCCAGAGGGTTCAAGCTGCCATCTTATAATTTATGCAGTATTCTGATTGAGCAAACCAAGAAAACCAGTAATTTTAGTTTTTATAGGTTAGGGTCAGTCTGTTTTCCGAAGACTAGCTCTAATACTTTCATTCAAACTCTATTAGAAATAGATACCACTATTTTCCATATCTATATCTATATGTATATATTGGTCTTTTTGAGACAAGGTCTCCCTGTAGCCCCAGCTGTCCTGGAACTTACTATGTAGACCAGGCTGGCCTTAAACTCACAGGGATCTGCCTGCTTCTGCCTCCCAAGCGCTGGGATTAAAGGTGTGCGCCACCACACCTGGCTATTATCCATATTTTACAAATCAGACTGAAAAAGGCTAAGTAATTAATACTCTCATCCTGGTCTCTTAACACCAAAGACTAAACTAGAAACCACTGTTAAACTGCTGCTGTTCCCTGTTAGGGCTCAGAAAAAATTTCTTCCAGAATTTACCATCCTAGCGTAGACTTAGGCTGAAATTTCAAAAATAAAAACCAGAGAAACAAGTCCAGCTAATGAAAACCGAGCACAGTCTGTGGCGTAATTCTACATCTGATTTTTGTTTCCTACTAGTGAGAAGTTTGGTTTACTAAAGTTAATTTAGCATTCACTAACATTTCTGCAAGATTTCTGAATATGAAGCCTTTTGCTATCACACCCTGGCCACCATACATGTTCTGTAACAAGTGACAACACAAATCCAACAGTTAGAGAATTCTTTCAAATAAGATTGGAGCTTTCTGCACAGATGAGTACATCATCTTTCTAAGCCACATTTTCCAGTCTCTTGTGAAACACCGATCTGCATTTTTACATTTCTACACAAATCTGAGGTTCTATTCCTAGTGGGGTGTACAGCACTTAGATTACTTGGGCTAAACACTACTGCGTTGTTTATAAGCCTTAGATTCTGTAGTTACTGTTTAGCATTCATTGGATTTAAACCAGAGCTTTATGGTGCTGGTTAACTGCTAAGGAAGGCAAAGGGTCTGAACATTTGACCTAAAAGTCCACTTAGCAATCTACAACTGATTACTTTTAAAAATGTGCCAGAGGAAGGGGGTCAGCAGGTGGGGGGGTGGTGAATCCAGAGGACAATGGGGTATGCCTGTATAAAGCTGACAAAAATAAAAAAAAATTAAATGTGCATGAACCACCTGTTTGTTAGGAAATGGGCTTGCTGATGACACATCTTCTGGTTGAAAAAAATAGCTCTTTACTTAAAAGTGACTGCTTGTCAATAGTAAACTTAAACCCACTGGTCTAGAGCTGCCAGCCTGCCTTCCAGCCTCCCTGGGATCCAGGGATAATTGACAATTCAAGGCCTTGAACTGCCAGCGATGGTGCAGCTGGTGACTAGCACTCTAAAAACAAAGCCAAACTCTTGCTTTAAAAAATTGCGAACACACAGACACAGACCCTGCCTCTGACAACATCCAAAAGATTCATTATAGACAATCTACAACCGCCCCAGGAAATATAAACAGTAATCCGCAAAGACAGCAGGGGGAGAGGAAATAACTGATGGGAAGGAAGCGAATCGTGAAGTCCGCCCAACTCTACAAGGCCTAAGAAATTCCCAGTTTGTTGTCACTGGGAGCAGGGGGGTAAACGTGCCTGGCACATGGGCATAGATCTCCCTTTCCAGCTCGGGCGCGGAGCTGCTTCCTTTTCTATCCGCTTATCTGTGCCCTGCCACACCCGTTCAGGAGGCCCACGACACGCCAGGCCTGGTAAGATCTTCCAGCTGATTTCCAGTTGCTCAAAGTTTCAGTTCACCACAGGAGCTTTAACAAGAATGATGGCTCCCTTTCCTAAAGTTATGAATGGTTTAAGTCCAATTTACGAGACTGTCAGGGAACGCCGGCGATAGCGTTTTAAATGAGCTTTAACCGACAGGCCCTAACTAAAATGAAAACCAGTCACTCCCACCAGCTGACCGTCCGACGCTACACTGTTTTTAAAAATCAAGCAAAATATAAGTGGAACCCTGAACTCCCATTACCACCCACGACTGCTCTGTCCCGCGGCAACCTGCGCATCTTTGCCCTGGGGTCCCTCGTGGAGTGTCGTCGGTGAAGTGTCACCCCCGTTTTCTCCACAGCACGACCATTCCCCGCCGGGGTGCGCCGAGCGCGTGGGGCCGCTGCGAGCCCACTCCAGTCCCCAGACCCGCGCGGGGGTCGAGGGGCGTGGCGGCCCCCACCCGCTCCTCCCGCAGCATCGCCCCGAGCTGGGCGGCGACTCGGGGCCTCCCGCCGGCGGGGCTAGGTAAGGCGAGGCAAGGCCGGCCTGGGCGGCAGTAGGGACGAAGGCTTCCCGGACGCCCGCGCCCCCGACCCGCGCCCCAGATCCCTCTCCAGCCCCGCTCCCTGCTCACCCTGCGCCCCCGGCCCGGGCCCCAAGTCCCTCTCCCGCCCAGCTCCCCACACCCTGCGCCCCGAGCCCGCTCCCCGGGTTCCTCTCCGGCCCAGCTCCCCACACCCTGCGCCCCCCGCCCGTGTCCTGGGTCCCTCTCCGGCCCCGCTCCCCCCACCCTGCGCCCCCCGGCACGCTCCAGCACCGCTCCCGCGCCCTCGGGCTGCCGTCCAGGGCGAGCGCCGGCCTCGCTCCTCTCTCCCGGCCCGGCGCCCCAGCAATCCCGCCTCCCGGAGCTCTACCCTGCGTCCCTCCTTCCTTCCTCCGTTCCCTCCCTCCACCTCGCGGCTCAGTTCCCGGGACTCCTAGGCAGCCCGGTCCCCAGCTCCCGGTCCGCGTCCCCCGCCCAGTCCCGCATCCCGTCCACGGCCCTGTACCCCGCCCGGGGCCAGGGACCCCGTTCTAGCCCTCGCGCTCACCCGCCTACTGCGCCGCCGCCCCGAAGTCGGTCCCAGCGCCCGGAGCCTGCCGACCTCTCGGCCCCGCTGCCCAGCTCCTCCCCGCGCGCGTGGGCGGGGCGAGCGCGATGGGCGGGCCGGCTGCGGGTCCTCCTCCATCCCACCCACGGTTTGGCGCCCTCGCCACGCCGGCCGCGGCCGCCTAGTGGTGTCGGGTGCCAGCACACAGGGGTGCAGTTAGCCGCCGTCTGGCCGGCCTTGCCACCCCCTACCACCGCCACCACCACTCAGATTCTCCTAGACCTGGAGTTCGAGCCTGGAAGATCCTGGCTTCACCGCGGCCCCTCCTCTGCTAACTCCTGGCAAAAGTGTCTTGCGGGCCAGAGCCTCGCCAGCCGGTTGCCAGAGGTCCCCTGGGCTGTGAAGATGAGCCCTGCCAAACCCCTGCACAAAAGTTAGGCTCTAATCCAGAAAGGTCTGAGAAAACAGTCACAGTCGTATTTAAAGGGCCCTAGGGCCACCGGAGAGGTTGTTTCCCAGAAGTGGAGGTAAAAGCAGATTCTTCAGTTTGAAGTACAGTCTCCCAGCACAAGCGCCCCCTCCACCCCCATGAAATTTGTGCTTCCGAATGCCCAGAACTTGGCAGAGTTCTGTGTAATGAATTAATTGGATTAGGTTGGTCTTTTCTGGGTGGATTTAGAGTTTGGTAGATTAAAGAGTCAATTTGGCTTCCACAAGCTGCATTCTGTTCAGCCATTCAACAAAACGAAGCACCTGTTCCGTGCCAAGCATTGTGCTAAATGTGATGGGACATACCGGTCCAATAGAGATTTTTAAAAAGCTCCAGAACCCAGGAAAAGTGAAGATGGATGTGCAGAAATGTTAATGCTCAGAGCAGTTTTCTAGAATGTTTCCTAGGTGTCTGCTTTCTTGTTTAACAGGATGGAGATAGAAGGCCAAAATAAGTCCAATAAGAACCAATGTGGGCAGAATCCATTTTTGATATGGAGTCAGTATTGACTGAGAGCAGGCAGCACTAATTGGGCTCAATGGTGAAACAGTGAGAGCGAAGGAGGGAACAAAGAGCGGGTAGGGAGAGAATGAAGATGGGGATGGAACGTGTTGAGGGGGTGTGGAAGAAGGAGTGGAAGGGGGAGTTTGGGAGTGTCTGTGATCAAGATACATTGTACACAGATATAAAAAGATATTCTAAAAAGGAGACATCAAATTAAAAACATGAGAAAATAAATAAATAAATAAATAAATAAATAAATAAATAAATAAATAAATAAATAAATGTATTGAGTGAGGATGTCTATGTGGAGTTTCACCAGCTAAGTGGGACCCTGTGAAGCTGAGAGCTAAGAACTCCAGCAAGGGCATGAAGTTCGCTCTTGCTTACGCCTGACCCTTACTCAAGTATCAGTGTTAGTGACATCCTTTGGTAAGGTACAGACCGGCTGTTGGAAGTAGAGAGAATGTATGATTGGATGCTTGCTTGGGAAGTGTAGGCTTCCTAACCTCTGGATGGTGTACTTGATGAGGTGCAATCCATAGCCTGCCAGAGAAACCCTTTACTTCCAGCTTTGTGTAGCATTAGGAAACACGTGACTGATTCAGATGTTGGCCACCGAAAATATACAACTTAAACAGAATGGTGGGACCCTAGAGTTGACTTGTAGCTATATCACTAATTTCCATGTCTGAATCATGAAATGGGCAGTTAAGTGCTTTCATGCACTTTTCTTTTTCTCTCAGTATCTACCGCAAAAACAAGCTGAGTGGCTTGTTGAAGATGTTCTAGTTTAATGTTATTCTAATTGTGGCCACAGCACAAGAGTCTACAAACTGTAGAATTGTTACTTATCCACATAAGAAAAGAACAGAAATTAAACTTCTGTAGAAATTGTCTATTGAGACCTAATCATTTGAAATGTGATCTTTTATTTTGTATGGCTTTTTTCACTGTGTATGGTTTTATATTATTTTGTTGTATAAAGTATCAGCCTACAACAGTCAGATCTGTTGAGTTCTGTATTCCTGAGCTCTGCTCCCTCAGATTCAACTACAGATTGAAAATATATATAAACAAATTTGAGTCTGTACTACACAAGTTTTTCTTGTCTTTATTACATTTATAATACAGTATAACAACTATTGACATTAATATTTGCATTGTATTAGGGTTAGATAATAAAAAAAATCAGGGACAATTAAAATATATGAGAGGATGTAGGGAGGTTATATGTAAATACTATGTTGTTTTACTCAAGTGCTTACTATCCTCAGACTTTGATATATGGGTGGAGGATGGTTCTGGAACCACCTGAGGGATAACTGTTCTACAGGTAGGTAAAGGACCTCCAATCATATTAGCCAAAAGGCAAAAACAGGAAGACCTAACATTTTAAAAAATATTTTATTTATTATATTTATGACTTTTATTTTATGTGTATGAGTATTATGCTTGCATGTATGCAAGTGCACCCATGTCATGCAATGCCCACAGAAGCCTTCTGGGTATTGGATCCCTGGGAGTTATGGATGGTTCTTAGCTGCCGTGTGGGTGCTAGGAATTAAACCTAGGTCTTCTGTGAGAGCAGTCAGTGCTCTTAACTGCTGAGCCTTCTCTCTCCAGCTCAGAAGAGCTAACATTTAACCAGCACTTCCTGCGTGACAGATGTTGCTTGAAGATCCTTACATATATTAAATCTTTTAATTCTCCTAACAACCCCAGCAGGCAGGGACAGGAAAGTGAATCCGTACAATCTGAAACTGGCAGGTTTCAAAAGGTTTTAAAAGCAAGGTACCTACCCTACAGTTTGTGTTTGTGCCCATGGCCCTGGATCCCAAGCTCTTTCTATTCTGTTGTTTCCTGAACTTTGATGACTCACATTCCATCTTCATATACCTGCTATTTTTAATATGTATTTTGACTGACTCACTTTTGTTAATGTGTATGCACATGCAAGAAAGAGAGAGAGAGAGAGAGAGAGAGAGAGAGAGAGAGAGAGAGAGGCCTATGCTTAGTTTAATATTTGGCTATACCATTTTGAAATTCTTAAATAATTCATGAACATTTTTCCATTCTTCTAATTAGTAATTCCAGTTTGAAAGTTAGTAATTGCTGTTAGTAATTCCACTTATGAAATCATGGGTTTGAAAAGCATCCATCTCTTGCCCTAGTGCATGTTAAAGTTTATGCCCCACTTCAGCCATTTCCGTTAGCATTTCATTGTATCCCCTCCAGTCCTTTTCTAGCTTTGCGTGCACTGGTTCCAGGTGTGCTTCATACCTGACACCAGCTGCATTTCATGGTCAAAGTACTGATTTCACTGCAGGACAGAACAGCTGGAAGTGTCTAGTAACTGGTGTCCTCCTTATATCTCTTCTTTAACCAGTGACAAAGGAATGTGGAGGCAAAAATACCCCAGCGCTTTGCCCCTAATTGGAATAACTCCAGGTTGCATCTACACTGCCTACAGTGTCCCCCACATAGGTGGGGTGAAATCCCCCCATTCCTCTCTGGTACTACTAAACTCATCTGTGTAACACACTCATGATCAGCACCCTACACCTTAGGAGGCTCGAGTTATAGGAAGAAGAGTTATGCTAAATTGTATACAGAGCTTTGGCCATAGAAACAGCTATCTATAGTGATCAAGAATGGTCTAGGTTAAATGAGAAGACTTGTGTTTCAATGATTCTGACACTGTGTACACAAAGTATGAATTTGTATGGTGTCTTAGATTGAGTTTATTACTGAGTGATTAAAAAACACATCTGAAGGAAGTAAGGCTGGCAGGTCTGGGTAAGAGCAATGAGGCACCTCTCAGTATGGGGACAGCTGAGGACTTCAGTGAGCCTCAGCATAAAGGGGGACTGGAGTTAAGTGGGCTAGATTGAGTCCATGGGATTGACTTTTGTATCTCTACCTCTTACATTGCTAGAAAGAAGTAGACTTTGGCAAAGTGGTTTGTTAGGGCAGTGCCCAGTGGTAGGTGCAACAAGGATCTGCTCAGGGGCCAGTAGCTGGGGAGCAGCTGGAGCTCTGAGAGCAAGGGCTTGGGAGAAGCTTCAGAGCAGAGCTATCTCCCAGAGCTCACTTGGGCTTGTGATCAGTAATAATAGCTCAACCCAGGAGGGGGTGGCCTTAGATTTTTAAATTAATTAATTGATTGCTTATCAGTATGGAGGGGGGCATGAATGTTATAGTGTGCATGAAGAGGTCAAAGGACAACTTTTGTGGAGCTGGTTCTCTCTTTCCACCTCTTCATGGGTTCCAGGGATGGAACTCAGGTCTCTAGGCTTGAGGGGAAAGCACCTTTCCCACTGAACCATCTCGCCAACCTCTGACCTTCAATTTTTATATAGCATGGAAGCAATTACTCATCATAATTTACCTGATATCATGGGCCCATTGGATTTCCCACTTTTTCTTTCCCAGGTTTCCTTTAAACTTTTTCCCTTCCCTTCACTGATTCTCTGTATTTTCCAACCTTTCTCTCAGTGACCTTCCAAACAACCAAGAAACCAGTTGTCTATAAAAGGGTGGTAGTGAATCAGAGTGAGATTTATGTCTCATGGGATGAGGGGGTTCTAAGAGAACGGCTTCCAAAGCCCAAATCTTAATTCTACAAAACAAATGGCTTTCTCCATTGTATGATGATTTTATAACTCAGGAGAGCTGATTTTTTAAGATTTCAGTTTCTATGTGAACCTACTGTAAATTTTTGTTCATTATTCAACCCTACTCTGTAAGCTTTTATTCAATATTCTATAACACCATCATAACTAAAGCATTAGTAAAAAAAGAATTGTGAAGAAATAGCGAAAAATGAGGCTGATTAGTCAGCCCCTGAGGGTCAGTCCCACAGATGTGTGGAATCATCTTTGCTCTCTGTGGATTTTCACTTGTCCGGTCTCACACAGTTACTCTTTGTCTGAACCTGCCTTAGAAGTTATGGAAAACTACCTTCTTTTGAGTAGGCAAGTGTTTCACAAACTGGTTTTTCTGCTCAGTCAGAAACTGCCATATTCCCTTGTATAAGTTAGGTAAGGAGAAGAATCCAGAGTCTTGGAAATCCCCAGGTAACTTGTTGTAACACAGATGGCCACAGGCAGGAACTATGACC